AGCTATTGAAGTCTCGTAACTCGTTCAAACGCACAAATCACGTTCACGCCAGACAAATATTATTTTGGCGATATAAATATATTTTTAAGTCTTTCATAAGCAAACGAACTATTAGGAAAGACAAAATGACGAGTGCAGTCAAGTGATTACAACAAAGTCCATCTTAAGCCCAAGAAAAGTAGTTTTTTGACAACTAGTGGCAACCCTGACTGTCCCCCCGCTCTCTCAGTTCTAGTCCTAACGTTGTTCGGAGCTCCCGCTCCTTTCCGTACTTCTGCTGCTCTTTTGCCCTGTTCGGTTTTGCGTCGTGCTCGCGCTTGAGTTTCATCGCACGCATCGGAGGTCCTCCAGCCGATCCTTCCAAAGTCGTATCAGCGCCCAGGTCGCTTCAACGCTCCTCTGGAAGCGCGGCGACCCCTTCCTACTCGTGGACGCTCCTCCGTCGTTCGACATATCGCACGACGCGGGAGTGAGATACAGATATATGTACAAAAAAACATTAAATATATTTCAGCACGGATAGTATTACACTATTAAAGGATGATAAAATATAAAGTAGAGAAATAAAAGCTAGATAAATATGATTGTAAGGAAAATCAAGAGGAGGAGAACCGAAGTGCCGAAGAAGATGACGCGAGCAGGCGACGACTAGGCCTACTAGATAGCTGGGGTCGTGAGTACAAAAAACTATTAGCAGAGCGAGATTTGTGCAGAATATACGTGAAACAAGCTCTTTTTAAATAATAAAAATGCAAAAGCATTGATTTTAGATATCAGTACAATCTTTAATTTCAATCCGCGTCTCTAGTGTAGATCGCTGCTGACGAGAGTACGCCTTTAGCAGCGGTAAAGGATTTGAGAAAACTCAGGTTCACGAAAAGGACCTTTACGTCAAATGCCATTTGAGTTGCCGTGTGGCACTGCCTAAATGACATTTACTCTAAAGTTCTTTTGGCGTAAAGATCCTTTCAGGTGCCCTTCTGACAGGGGTATGATCTTCCAAGGGTGCTTGAGACCACGCTCTTTCCCCTTCGTTTTCTCAACGTTCAAAACCTGCTCGGCAAAGGTGGTAGGCTACCTTAGCGGAGCTCTCGACAAGGGAGCAAAAAATAAGCGTTTCTCACTCTCTCTTAGACAGGACGGGACGTACGCCGCCTGAAGGAGTGTTTTCTTTTTCCACAAAAGCAATATAAACCTGCCAGTCCTGCTGCCACCTCAGAAGGTACCACACCGTCAACTTCTTTGTCGTCAGAACACAGAGACGTCTTCACCGATAACCAATAAAATACTGCAACCACGGAGGTTTAGGAGAAATGTAACTCAGCACAGGTAAATAACGAATGCATCATTGAGCTGGGCCTGTAAATGGAGTAGAAGTGTACGTACGACAGAAGACAAGCTGGAACGTGGCATGCTATTTATAATTTTTTTTAAAGAGCCCGGAGAGGCCTTACCATATTTAGATGTTAAAATGTCCGTACAAATGCAAGGAAGTGTACAACCATTCTGTGGCCATAACTACAACGGTTGCTAGAGGCAAAGTCCCTAAAACAAAAGCACACGATTGATTCTCTTGGATTTACTGAGAACAAATTGTTGCCAGAAAATGTTTTCGAAAGCAATCAATGAGAACAAGTATTTTATGGTTTTGGAGTGTCTACAAAACTTGGGGTTATTTTTAGTGATACGTTTTTGGGAATTGCTAGGCAACTGTGTCACATAGGTGAAAACTTTTAGCACCAGAAACGTTTAGCGACACTGAGTTCTTAGACGCTACTCTCACGGCTACCCTCACGGCACTTTTCATAGTATAGTTTAACGCGTACCATGTGTACACTGAATAGCTGTTTCTAGAATGAAGCGATACTACCGCTAATTGGGTTGGTAAACCTGGCGATCTTATTCAACCTTTCATACCCTCGACCTCTTCTCCTTCAGTGCGCACAGGGAGTTGAGCACCTCCTAGCCAACCTCACTCCTCCTCGCTTACCCCTCTGGCCACATGACCTCCCCGTCAACCAACCAGTGTCGAGCCTCGCGGCCACGCTTTTATCTGGGCTTCATGAAATGCACAACACGTAGCCAAAACACGTTTCACGTTAATATCAAGGTTTGTGTGCACATATGTAAAATACTCTTGAGCTAGCGAGAGGCTTTTAAAAGAAGCATCTTTGCGCGAGTACTCGAAGAAACACAGCAAGTTTCAGAGCTAGGGCATGGCGCCTGCAATATATCCTCCTAGGTAGGGCTGCGTGTATTACACGAAGAAGGCGGCGAGCAGCGGGTGAGCCTCCAGTGCTCTCGCGCGGCACGAAGTATCTTTTTAAGTGACTATTTACAATGTACTATTCCGACCATCCTGACATCTGCAAATAGGTTCTACTGCAAATATATGTAAATCACAGTTTTCTTTCCTTCGGTAGCGCTAAACAAGTATCCGTAAAATAAAGAACAAGAGGAATCGATTAGCCGTGAGATCCCGCCGCAACGTGCAAGGCTCTTGTAGCCAGAAGCTATTATTGTTTATACCATATCTTAGCGCAAAACAGGACTGGAAGCTTGATTGACACGACTTGAAAATAATTTAGGCCGCAACAGGGGAATAAGTGAAGCCTTGAACGCTTCTAGAAGGGTGTTATGAACGTCAAAGCAACAAAAATAGAGGTGTGCGTTGCCTCAGTTTGTCTTGGCGTGCTGCCACAATATAGACAGGTATTAACATAAGCAGTCACTCATATATGTCGTATGGAGCAATAAGTAAATCCAAGTAGGTCTCTTACATTGCCGTCTCGGGCATTCCCTGTAAATAGAAAATTCGGTCATTGCGGTACAGATTGTAATCAGGAGTCTTCAACGTTCATCCCCCGGTCGTGAATCAAGTGCAGTACGCGAGCGATGTTCATGCTTGGAAACATAAACAGATACAAGAATTGAACCCAGGGTCCCTGAGTTGGCAGCTCCGCATAGCTCTTCGGCGGATAAAGTTCAGCGGCAATGTCGCCATTTCCTTGCCGTTGCTTATCTCTATCCATAATGATTGCTCAGTCGCCAAATCGCTTGTTTAGGTTTCAGTGACGAAACAAACTTCCTGCACTTGTTTTGTGGAACACAATGGGTGCACTAGAATTCACAACCCCTTCTTTTTCTCCGGAAATGACAATCAACATATTGTGTTTCAAGTGACTAATGAGGCAATTTAAAAACAAAGCGTAAGCGTGAGGTCAAATTCTAATTTTTTTGGTTTTAGCAAAAGAGAAGATCAGGAACATTAATGCAATGTGCGTGCATTATATGAGCGTTTTTATATGTTATGATTGGCTACACAGAGATTTGGGTTGTTCAGAATGGGTTGCACGCACGACACACTATGTGCTTCCTGAGTTTATCATAATTATTAAGACTCGTTTAAGTTTAGTCAAGACGAGTGTGCGAACAGAATTCGTCACTGGGAAGCTTCAATGGACCTTGCTCCTTACAGGAATTCTTGTAGCGCCTTTAAGGCTTCTTGTATTGCAAGAAGCCCATTTTGGTAACCGAAGTAATCGAAGGGATCAGGTTTGTCGTGGCCGCTACGTCATTTGTTGGCTGCATTGCGGAGTCATAGCGCTCTACGCCCTTTACGCCGTCCATTGGTTCTTTTTGGCGCGATCATATGGGGACCTAAGCAAGAAGAAGTCAGGTTTGCGCGCCTATGGTCACAGAGGATACCACGGGCTCCCATAAGTCGAACTGAGCTGTTTTAACTCGGTTTCTCCAAGTGGCGGCGAGCAAAGGTGTCGGGCTGCCGATCGCGCGCGGTTTGGAATCCGATACTCACTGAGCCGCTTGGTAAACCTCACTCGTTAAATTAGCTATTCCTGGTTGAAGCTTGGTACGAGTAAGTACCAGGAACTACGTCTCCTATGCTTCGATGTTTCAGCTAAAGGTTCTCAATGCTTTATGTTTCCTTGAACTGCATGTTTTTTCTCACATTCGCAAGCAACACCTTTAGAATAAAATTCAGCACATCCACACATTTTGTCTTACAAAAAATTGTTTCTAGTTTTAATTAATTGTGTGTCTTCATATATTTGGAAACGTCTGTATTTGGAAACATCTTATTAACGTTTCCAAATATTCACGCAGCAATGTGGATGCTTCGGCAAGTTGGTAATTCATCCTCCGATAGAACCTTGGGTTGTACCAAAAAGCACCACTCCCGTTTTGTTCCATGCTCTGGAGGGGTGGTTTATGCGGTTTCCCTCTCATGTGGAAAACATTATGTCGGGCAGACCGGGAGGTGTCTCAATGACAGGTTATGAGAGCATGATTGTAACATAAACAGAGTAATTTCAGAAAATCTAGGAACCATTGCCGGGATTGCGGGTGTTCAGCGGACCTGAGTAACTGCACTGTCATTGCCAGAAGTCGTAACCAGCTGACACGAGAGATCATCGAAGCTGAAAAAATAGCCAGGTTGGACAAACAATGTGTTAGAGTATCATCCTTAGCTTCATCAAAGAAAGAATTGAAATATCTAAAGATTTCATCGAAGCACCAATAGTGAAGAGAAATTTTTCGCTTAATTTTTATTAATTTTTTATATTTATTTTTAATTTATTGTTTTAATATTTCTTTTGTTGTCTTTTATTTATTTAATTATTAGTTATTTATTAATGTTTATTGGCTATTTGGTCTGTGGTGAGTAAAAATTTAAATTGTTCTCATTAACGGCAAAGGTGAAGAAGTTGAAGATTTGAGGAAGAAGATATATAGGACTGAGTTGTAAGTCAGCGCTGCGAGTTTGTTTCTTTCTTGTGTGCATGTGAGTTTGACTGTTCATCCGCGCTGTTTCATCCAATCACGCAGTAATATTATAATATCACTATAACTTCTTCGTATCCGTTAATTCCTTGTCATTTGAACTGTGTAAACTTATGGCTTCATTTGAGGATAAATGAAAACATACCTCTCGAAGTTACCACCACTCCAATGCAAAAGACATGCCATAAAAGTGTTACCTTTTGGTAAAAAGGGCGCCGGCACAAAGGCTAAGCCGGCCAGGAGGAGTTGAACTGCCATTGAGCGTCGCCGGCTCCAGCACCTGACGACGTACATTCCCAGAAGCGCCGCTGGCAGCTCTGCCGCGGATGAGACGGTGTAGTTGATGTATGGGTTGCCGGGAATATTTGTGACGTTCAGCGCCGCGTAGTAGTAGATCACGCCTCCCAGAAACCTGCGCACGCAAAAACGAAATACGGAGCAAGTCGACAGGTTCGCTTCAGTGAAGCGCTCTTTCCACAAGTAATGTGGAACGAAATGGCATAGTACAAGTGCGCCGTCACGTAATAACTGTCACATATGAACTCAAATGATGAAACACCTTCCTTTTAACTAAACCAATTATCAGAAGATAACATTATCATTAAACATTTAACATCTCATTAATAAAACTTAATATTTCTGTGAAGATTTCTCGACATGTAAATTTAGATATATAGCTTACTTTTTTTTCATAGACTATAATAATTTTCCTAAATGCTTCTATTGTTGCGTTTTTTTACATATTCTCAATTGTCTGCCAATGAAGTAGGGGGCGTGGACCTCCTCAAGCCGACAACTGTCGGCTTTTGGTCGATGCCTTTAGCGACAGTATTTCAAAATGCAGGAACAAATAAATTGAATGAATGAATGAATGAATGTTATGCACTTTAAAGATCCCGACTTAGCCGCCCTCCTGCAATAACAAATTTGCTTCTCACGAGCGTTGTTCAAAAGGTACTGCCATATATATGTTTGCCCGTCTGAATTCTAGCAGAATAAACCCCCTCAACATCAAACTTCCTATCTGAGCCTCACTGGCAGTAAAGATTGTAACTCAAAACTGCGGAGTTTACTTCAACATCTTAGCACGGTTCTTCCGCTAAATATGAAAAAGTACGTCTGGGATGGTTTATGTGTGTCTTATGCACAGGTCCCCTTAACCTGCATTAGCATGATATTAAAAAAATCCGAAAGGATCTAATACAAAGTAGGTTCGTTATTTTGTAATGCAGCCGCATTTAACATATTTTATACACTTCAATTATATCTGAAAACTACGCTTTTTTTTACTGCGTTCAGAAACTAGACACCGATGTAGCACGCAAAGAAACGCCTAGCTTGGCAAATGTTCGGCAACCATAAGGGCCTAATACGATTTTCTTCCAAGGCGTTAGTGCCAGAGTGTATTTTTTGGCGTTTCTATTGCTTTCTTTGTGGCTCGCCACATAATTACACAAGCGCCAGACTGGAACGAAATGTACCAGATTTGAACTGAAAAACCAGCAGCGAATCCTTAATGTGGCACTTGTATGGCAATTTTGATTCAAGGTGGCGATATCAGGACCAAAAAAACAGAATTGAGCCTAAATCTGAAGCTGTTAAGCAACCTAGGCTCAAAATCCCTGATTACAGCCACATTCCAAGCACTAAAGCCTAACTGTGGCGCATTTTTAGCGAATTATTGCCAATATACACAGACTCAGTTAAAATATGATCAAGTATGACTACATTTTATTCTTCGGGCTTTTCAAAACACCAATACCCCAAACAAAAAACAATACAAAAAATAGCAATTTAGCCCAATGAATTGTGCTAACTGGCCATGCATTAAATAGACGTAGCGGTATCTGGAGAAGTGGAAAAACAGCGCAAAAGACAAAATGTAATTGGAAAGACTACACAAACAGACTTCAAACTGACCAACCAACTAGCCCAACTTCAGACGTTACTGAGGTTTGTAGAGTTTTTGTTTGTTCAACTACTCAGTCACAACCAAAGCTCACAATACGTCTAATATATTAGCAAGTAAATTACGAAACAAGTTTAACATTGCTACACCATACACATGCTGTCTTAACAAGCTAACCTGCAAATCATCAGTGTCTGATTTCGTAGGTAAGTTACTATATAATGAATAAGCAATGGTTTGTTGAATAAATAAATAGATTTGGAAAGAAAGGAGAGTATTGAAAAAGAACCTTAAAACCACACGTGCTTCATATTATTGCTTTGAAACCTAAATTATATTTGTACGGCCTACTGAGTAACTTCTTGCTCTCAGATGCGCGCCTCTAGTATTAGTATCAAAGGAATCGTAGATAATCCCAATTACGAATTACATTAATACTTTCTTTTATTTATCGTGCACTTTATGCTGTTTTTCTTTTGCTTACGAATGTATGTATAGTGACAGCGACGCTTTCATTGCGCATATTAAATTGTGCAAATGGGAAGTCATGCGTCCTTTGCTGGAGAAAATTGAAAGCGGCCTTTTCTTCAAGAATACTTGAAGTTAAGAAGAAATATACTAATATTGATGCGTTTGGGATATATTATCGTTAATTACAACTGAATACTCATATATTTAGGTAACTAGTAAGATCGATGATTATGAGATCAGCTACAGAAAGAAAAAAGTGACGAGAGAAGCACGAGGAAATAAAACCGCCACCACTGAACGGAGGCGCCGGGGTTCCTTCCTCAACACAACCTGATGCCGAAACCCGTCGAGATGACATAAACCGCAAGTGCAAGACCCATGGCGTTGTGCGCACAGACATGAGCAACACAGTCACACTGATCGACATTCTGCTCTAGATCCCGGGCTCGTCAGGGCTTGATTTACGGACCCAAATCGATTACCAGATCCAAAGGCAAACCAGAATGGCTGAGATTGATAATGGCATCCTGGCTCTGACCACAGATGATGACTTAGAAGGCGAGCTTGAGCGAGGCGATGAATACCACTTTTAAATTCAGCCCAGAGTTCACGCGGGTTTCATATGCACTTGACTCCAAAATAAACATGTCCCCACTCACGGACGTCAACTTGCGCGTGATAGACATCACACCTAACACCGTGCCGGCAAGGCGGCCTCCCCCCCACGAGAGCGACCTCCAACAACACCCTTCCAGTTTTGCCCTAAGGAGCCATCGGACAGTGACACTTCCGAAATTCAAGGTTCCGACCTTTGCGAAAATCTCAAGGATCGGAGAGGGTTTTAAGACCATTTCGATGTCACGGTTCATGCGAATTATAATCTCTCTGTCATTTAAAAATTTAGGCATTTAATGACGTATCTAAGAGGAAACTCAAGATGAGCAGTTAAAGAAAATCGACTCTTAGAACAAAACTAACACCTTGAAGTGCAGGCACTAGACCGGTTTAGAAAACGCGATATACTAATCGACGATCACATTGATCAACCTTTGAATTTGACTGCAACGAGCACTTCCAGCAAAGTAGCTCAACTTTGGCAAATTCCCAATGCAATATGTTTCCCCAGCACGTCTCTTGAAGGCTTAGAATTTCCACCTAGCAGTTATGACGTCGGGCTCCACCGGATTCTTATGCGCGACCTTCCCTGTGAACTCGCTATTCTTTACCGCCAAAGGCTGAAAAATGCCGCACCGCCATCTTCAACGAGCACACAGGACCATGGCCCAAAAAAAAACATGTCAATAGTATCATTGCTTATTTGCGGATGCAAGTGGAAATCCGAGAAGATGGCCAAATGGATCACTCAACTCACACTTTTCGACGTGGTTTATCTCCAATAAGACCCCAAGAATATAACCTGACCAATAACCCTTAAGCTATCGCACTAACGACTGAATCCGCCCGCAACTGATCAACTGCGTGGCCATCTTGAGGCACCTTCGAGCACGTGGTGCAAAACTGTCAGGCCCAACTTTCACCCCAAGATAAACAAACTAAGCTCGCACGTTCCTGTTATTGCTTTAAATGCGGTAAGCCAAATCGCATCGCTCGCGTTTGCCGTTCATGTAGAAGCTTGTCGCGTTTATGGGGTGGGGGTCATCACTTGACAGTTATTTGTGGACTTTCACACCACCTATCATCCTCTTCAAACATTCCGCAGCCTCGAGTGCCACATAAAAACGCCACAGCTGTTAGCGTCCCAGCCAGCCATTGGTGCTCTTCTGCCATCCTGTTACGAACAGCTAGAGCGCGGGCATCAAGGACGCCCAGGAACGTTCTTGTAAGACTCTTAATATACAAAAACAGCCAGCGCACCTTCATCAGACGTGATGTTTTTGAACAGATTGGCTGTGAAGTTGAAGGCCAGGAGGACCTTCACTGGGGACCTGCGGCGTCGTCCTTCGCTCGACGCGCACCGGCGAGTAGCGCCGCGGTGCCGAAGACCGAATAGGACGCCTCCCGACGTCATTGGCGATGTTAGGCGCCCCGGAACGACTGCCTCCACGTCGTCGCTGTTGGCCGAGCGGCCGCCTGGTGTCTGCCGTCTCGTCGCGAGAAGCCGGCCCTGATTATCGTTTTCCGCGACTTGCCGTGGGGGGCTTCGTGGTCTGGCTCTCATGGGCCTTTGCGGGAAGTGGGCCGGGTGGTGGGAACGGATAATTCTAACCGTCAAAAACGCACCGACGGGAGCCCTTGGAGGCAGCAGCCTAACGTTCTAAGAACTTACCACCATACCCTATGACATAGAAGCCGCCAAGAACTGCCGTCCACTTACCCATGTCAGTAACGATTAGGGATGCCGCCAACGTTTTACGAACCGAGGGTTAGATGACCGAATCAATCGGTTCGAAAGATTCAAAATATTTCGAACTTTCAAACCTTCTGTATAAAAGAAATTCGACGGGAGTCGAATTTTCGAATTTGTTGAACTAACAAGTTCGACGCTTTTCGAAAACTCGAACTTCGCACGTTCAGAAATGCAATGTTTTTCGAACCTTCGTACTTATTACGCTGGAAAGTTCGATTCTTTTCGAACTTTTCAACTTATTGCGCTGCAAATATCAATGCTTGTCGAACTTTCGAACTTGATAGACTAAAAAATTTGATGATTTTCAAATTTTCGAAATTCTTCCACTAAAAAGTTTGAAGCTTTTCGAACTTTCGAAGTTCCTACGTTAAGAAATTGGATAATTTTCTAACTTTCTAACTTTTCTATCTAGTTTATTTGGAAATTTTTTGAACTTTTGGATCCTGGAAAGTGAAAAGTTCGGCGAACATCGAACTGTTAGGGTTAGAGTTCGAAGTTCGTCGAACTTGGAAAGACCGGCGAGCGGATTCATTTGGATTCAAGCAGTGAGGCTCATTCGTATTTTTTTTTCTCAAATTTTTACATGCGGTCATGCATTCCTTGCGAAAGACAATACCGTTTATTTCAATGTTTTGGCATGCTCAGTTTTAAAGAAATAAATACC